TTTTTAACACTCAATGTGCATGAGGCCTAACAATGCGGATTCACTAAGCACTAAGAGGAAGGTGATTCGCTGTTAGTAGGTGCATAGGTTAGCGAGTCTCATAATTGCATAAAATGACCCTCTAATTGTGGTACACTGTGTACCTGAATACTGCCAGTTCACACAGCTTTAGCAGTGTGTTGAAGGGACCCTGACGCTATATTCAGTTTTCCAAATGAAGCTATACCTGAAAAATAAGACTGTGAATACTCAACTTTCTGGCTGCCCACACTGCCAAATGCCACCATGATCTTGAGAAGTCTTCATGTCAAGTCATAAGGGAAACCAACTTCTGGAATCGCTGATCTCCTAAGTTCCCTGAAACTCTTAAGGTTTGTTTACACTTGAGGTGTCCTCTGAAGAGTGATTGGTGGTGGATCACTCTTCAGAGGGTATTTGACAGCTGTTGAGGAGGCATTATGTTGCCTCCCCGCTACCTGTTTTAGCAACTAAAAACCCACATCATTGGAATAGGTCACATTCAAATAGCAGAACTCATAGCCACAATGAGGATATATTCTGCTGCATCATGGCATGCCTACACTCCCGTCTGCTGCCTTTGCAGTTTAAGGGTGAGTGGTTGGAGGGGGTATTAAAAATGCTGCTCAAGCCATTTTCATTGCTGACTTCACATAAAGATTTCTCAGGATTGAAGAGGCAAAAAGAAAGAATTTTTTTGCAGGTATAGCCTGATTTTAAACATTTAATATACTAACAGGGTTAATTTAAAGAAAACTGGTACTTGAAAACATTCAATCTGCCATTGTTGACATCTCTTTCTGAAAATGCTAGTTGTCTGGCTGTCATAGTAATCAAGTCAGAAGAGGTAAAGATAGCTTTTTCAGCTAGTATTACACAAAGGCGATTATTGGTCTTATCTGTCTAGCTTGCAGTCCAGATCAAGGTCACTGACCGCCAATCCAAAGACGTCCAGCCTTCAACAAATATCTACCACTCCCTTTCTAATAGATGCTGATCTACTGGCTTCAATAATGTCTGAGGAACTGACCTGGAACAAGTATGGCGATCAGAAGTTTTGACTTCACTTTGACTTTTTAATCTGTATTCTTGTTCTGGGTCAGTGACTTAGAAAGTACTAAAGCCAGACACAGCAAACATCTGCAGTCATACAAGGGCATCAGCAATGGCAACCTCCATATTTCTTTTAGCCCAGTTTTTCTTTACCACCGCTTTACCATTTATTTTTTAAATAAGGGTGCTGGATATTATGTTTTAGTTCACAGAGCTAAAACACAAGTGTAAGGATTGTAGTTTTCAAAAAGAAATTTATTTTTAGCTGAGGCCAATAAGAACTGAAAATGACAGTCACATGGCTAAAAATAAGGACTGTTATTCTTGTATACAGCTTTGTGAATTGACTCTATTGCACGTATTTCAACGAGACATGAATTGGGACAATAGACAGAGAATTTGTGAAGTTCAATCACTATGCGACCCTATCAACAAAGAAGCACTTCCTACTGCTTATTATTAAATAAATATGTCCATAGGCCTGAACAATTAAAATGATAAAAATATTAATATGCATGTATGTACATATATATATATATATATATATATATATATATATATATAAAATAATATATATAATATATATATATATATATATATTGTTAAAACACTCTGGGTTCATCATCTCCCTGCTGCATATAACCCTTCCTAATGCAGAACGTTGTGACTTCTGACGTTGACTCCTAAATTTTATCATGACAAGCTCCAATGAACATCTCTATCTGTTAATGAGACTTGAACAAAATACTGAAAAATGTTCAATTATTCCATGAGTTTATTTGTTCTGTTTTCGTATCCCATATAACAAACTCTCAAATATAAATCATAGTTTATTTTATACCCAACATATTTGCATGGCATACCAAGCAGATCTTCTTTTTGTATAATAATTAAAACTCTGACTAATCCCATCCTCTGTTATTTTTTATAGTCTGCCCTTTCAGTTTCCCAACTTTACCTGTACCACAGTGAGCAGATTTTTCGCCTTAAGCATTTTAGACAGACATGCTGAGCTAGAGAAACCAAAGATGTTAATCTGACCACATATGCTGAAGCTGATGTAAGGGCCTCTACACTAATAACACAATTACATTTGGGTATTAAAGACAGCTACTACCTGCTTTAGCTCAACAGAAAAATACTGAGTATACTTTAAATGTCACCTAAAAGTAATTGATCATCAAAAAATGAAAGACGACCTATGTGCATTAGCTTATAACTCACTTTATTAATACGACAAGCTACATTATTCTGGAGAAATATTATGTTAAATAGCTGGCCCACCGGGGAAACAGGATGGTCATATATTCTTACACCAAACTTCTCTCATGGAATGACATGAACTTTGTCTATAGGTCTGAATTATAAATAGTGTTGTCCCTCAACACCGGCCTATGAGAAAGAGTTCATGTCTAGGCAACAAAGCCAGGAATTCTCTCTTCTTCTTTTTTTTGTATTCAAGGATTTATAAAAATTGATTTGCAGATTATAGAGTTGTAACCAATCAGATGTTGGCTTTTATTTTTTAAATCGTAAAAGGAGAATTTGTGGCAAAATATAATTAGCTGGTCTTAGCAGATTTCTGAATGTTTTGCAATTTTCTACCCTCAATATATTTTATATAATAAAGCAGATAGACATGCTCTTTGTCTTTTGCATCTCCAGTTGTTGCAAATAATATGTCTTTTGTAAATTTGTAATTTTGTGCCTTTTTATATATAAATTGTTCCTAAAGTTAATGTGAACCAATAAGCTATATTGTTGTGATTCCATTGCAAAAAGGAGAATAACAGCTGGAACTTCACTAGTTGTTATAGACAACCATATTGCCTTGCCCAGTTTTCTTCAATTAGTCCCTTATCTTATCCTATATGCAAGGGAGAGGTAAGTTACAACATTTAGCTTGGTATTAAATAAATGCATCAATTCCTACCTTAAATTTTTCATAATAAGCTTAGTAAACTGTATTAGTAATTATTAAAAATAACTTTTATTAGAGTGGAGAGAACATTCTAATAATGAGACAAATAAATATATGATGAACATCTTGTATCACAGACACAAATGACTTAAGCCATCCACAGATGAGGCAGTTCTCTAGCAATTTTAACTGATATATACAACTTTTTTACAGTCTTAGTGTTTGCATGGTCTGCCGGAGTGTTTCTATTTTCCATAGTCAGTGTGACAAGTCATTCTCCTTTGGACAAATTAGTCAAAAATAAGCACAGAGGAATAAAAGCTGAGGGAACAAAAAGGCGAAAGAGAAAGTACTGCAAAGTCTAAGAACCGGAATCGCCTGTGTAGTTAAAGGGAAAATGACTTGACAAACTGTTTAAGCTTTCCAAGTCTCTGGAGAGATAGTGAAAAGTGTTTCACCAACAAATGGATTGAGTAGAACAAATAATCTAAGCCTTTAATGAGATAGCTGATCCCTCTAATACCTGCTCCACTTTGTGCCGAAGGCTATTACAGTCAACGATAGTTTTCCTCCCAAGAAACCATCAGTGGCTAAAGAAACTGCTGCGGTGTGCAATCCATTCATTCATTCATTAGGGGGTAGAGGTCCAATCCAATTACCTTGATTCACACTGAGGGACCTGCAGAAAGACAGCCTTTTCAGTTCCCTCTCTCTTGTTTGTTAATCCCCCACTCATTAAGGCCCTTGTTCCTTCCTCCCCGGGACCCCACAACCACCAGGGAGGAGTTTATGCAACAGGCACTAAGGGAAAACTAAAGGGAAGCCACTTTTATTTCGAACAGTTTTTCCAATCACAAACTGCTTCTAAAATAGCAGCCAGCCCAGTCATTCAGACTCCTGGTGGATGGGCTGGATGCTCTGAAAGAGCAGGACTCCGCCGGGGTCTTTTTATGGTAAGATTTGACTCTTTGTCCTGCTGGACACCCTGTAGTTTTATTACTTTGTGCTTAAGCATCATTTCTATCATTAAGAAGGGATGAGCTGGTTTAAGAGAATTTCCATAAACTACCCTTCAGTGAGGCTAAGCCCCTAAATCCAGCAAAACCAACTTTATGTTTTACCCAATTATCTTCTGTATTGACATTAGCAGAGGCATTTCATTGATGTGCTGGAAAATGATGAAAACATAATATTCTGCAATATTAACAGATGACATGAAGAATTATGAATACTTGATAGAATACATGAGATTTCAGGATTTTAGTATTTGTGTGTGATAATCAACAGAGCTCCCATGTTACAGTACATAGTATGATCGCAGTCTGTTAATCACAGGAGCACGTACATGTTCAATGTCATCTGTGATGAGATGTAAGATTTGACAATTGATTTCATAATATGAATCGAGATTATCATTTTTTTAAGTACAATTTATAAATTAAACACAAATCCAATCTTTTCCCTGGTAGCCTTTGTATGTCAGAATTCAATGCTATCAAATCAAAGGCACGTGCCAAAACCATGTATGTTAAAAGGAAACTCCACTTCTGATTTGTTGTCATTGGAGAACTGAAATTCAACTTTAACAAGAGGTCAATTTATAAAAAAAATACAAGAAGATCATCAAAATCTAAGTATTGTTTTTGCATAAAGTAGATTCTCGTACTTTCAGGGAACCCACAGGTGGCATGGGTTGTTTTGTGTATTGTGATTGGATGCAATACACTAGATCTTAGCAATCTTATTGTCCTTAACTTGCAGTATTTGTAAGTTGTACAGGGTCATCATTACTATCTGTAGGATTTGAATTCTTGTTTCCTCCCTCAGGCCAGGGGTGCAGCAGCCACGGTAATAGCTATACACATCCTTCAGTAGAGATGAGCTTAGGTGAGTTTGAATCCCAGTTCAAACCCACCTGAGATTTCTTGCTAGTAAGCTGTCACTGTAGTGGGCCAATCATAAGCCAACAAGGTATTCCCTGCCTGCAGCTGCACGTATACATACATACATACCAGAGGCGGACTGACAACTCATGGGGCCCCCAGGCAATAGGGGATCATGGGGCCCCTGTGTCCTTGCCCAAACTCAAAAAAGCCTATGAAAAAGGTATGAAATACATACCAGGGGCATCTCATGGGGCCCCCTACTGACCCCGGGCCCTCAGTTTCCAAATGGTCAGTCCGCTCCTGATACATACACAACCTTTGAGTAAGTATGTATGTGGGGTGGAGAATGGCTTAGCCCCTTATGATTGGCACAGTACAGATAATAGCATCCTGGTCGGATCAATCAGATGGGTTCCAACTAGGATCCAAACATGCCTGAGCTCATCCCTTTCCAGGCAGGTGTAATAAGGAGATGTAATATTTAATGTGACCTCATTTTACTTGCTTGGTCTTCAAAGTTAAAATTTTTGCATTTTTAGAAATTTTTAGATTATCCACTGCAACATACCATCTCACTCTAAACAACCGCTGAAATAAAACAAGTTTTGGACTTGTAATGAGGTAAGATTACAGCAACATTGGAACTTCATTCTAGGTTAATAATCGTCTGACTTTTAAGCTCCATGCACACTGGGTGTTTTGATAATGCTGGTAACTTTAGCTGTGTAAAGTCACGTTAAAAACGTGAGGTTTTCAGCTTTTTTTAGTGATTTTGCATTAGCGTTTAGCGGCATTTTGCCACACTTGCGTTTTATAGCATTTTTTTTACCAAAAAAAGATTTTCTCTTTGGTCAGAAAAGTCCAAAAACGCCAGATTGCAGTGTTTTAATGCGTTTTAACGCATTGTTCAGCATTAGAGTGTTTTTACAGCTAAAAAACTCCTCTAGAAACCCACTAGTTCTGTGTTTTTTTTTTCCAGCCAAAAAACGTCCCTGCCAAAAAATGTTGATTACAGTCTATGTGTTCATGGACACATAGGATAACATGCTGGGGGGTTTACTAGCTGTAGAAAAAAATGTCAAAAGCCAAAAACAGCAGCTGTAAAAATGTTCAGTGTGCATGAGGGCTTAAGTTTGCATTGTGGAGCAAAGCACAAACATGTGCACAGGAAGAAAAGAATATATGTGTAAAGAGTGAATGTCGCTGACCCTATTTTTATTTATTTATTTCAGGTACTTATATAGCGCCGTCAATTTACGCAGCGCTTTACATATATATTGTACATTCACATCAGTCCCTAACCCCCAAGGGGCGTACAATCTAAGGTCCCTAATTCTATTGACGCTATGTGATTTTTTAAAACACATATCAATTAGATTATTTTACAGTACATCAAGTGGTAAGTAATAATGAAGATACTCATAGTAAATGTGTTATGTGGTGACCTTATTGGTTATTGGCAGATTTATGGCATGGTACTGCATATGTTCCCTGCTTAGTTATGTTAAATAATGATTTTTTAATTAGACCAAATATCCTGTATTTTGCACAGTAAATAAAAATCTGTGCGAGATATCAGGTGTGAGGTGATGAACGGTGAGGGAGAGTTCATCTGTCTGATTTAGCTCAAGATGTTTTGGGAACTCAGTTAAAAAGCAGGGTCTATTCACAGCATAGCAATAAAATCTTGTGCAGCAAACATCCACTTGCAGCCATTAGCATGCCATCTGCTGTTTGCAAAGGGTAGATATAAAATATTAATTTGCAATATTTCACATATTTATTTTCTTTATCCATTTTCTTTGAGGTAAAGATAGCCTTACCAACTAAGATGTACAGAATTTGAAGGGTGCGGTATTGGAGTATAGAGGTCAATGGACAACCCAGCCCCCTACAATTTCACCCTAAAGGTTCTTTAAAAAACACATAGCCTGTTTTCAATGCATTGCATTAAAATTTAATGCAATGCATATGCGGCGAGTAGCTGGTTGTGAAGGATGCCTGCGAGTGCCCAATCTGCTTTTCACTGGTTGTTAAGTAGCTGGCACCCACCAGTGCCCTTAACTTCCCTGGCGGTATGATTATTTCCGATTTTTGGTGCTGAAAGCGGTACCATTTTTTTGCATGGAAATATGTAGTTTTTTATTGTAGGCTGTAATTTTTAGGAATAACTCACTGAAATCTGTCCGAACAAGAGTCTAGTAAACATTCCGGAAATGATAGAACTTGAAACACAAAATCATAAATTATAATTTAATTAATAATCATAAAAAATAATAATATAATAATAATAAATTTAATTCAATAATATAATCAAACCAAAAACACTGAAATTTGAAATACAGAGGCAAATTCGCACATCGCTGAGCAAAGTCGCAAAATCGTTTTCAGTGTCTGATGACGAATTTCCCCACAAATCATTATCACTCAATTCTGCAAGTGGTTCTAATTTACTATCGCTGTTCTCTAGCTGATCTAAAACCGCTTTTGACATAAAGGGACGCTTTTTGGACGCCATGGACTTTTCTAAGTTTTCAGGCAGAAAGAACAGTCAAAATGTAGGCAGGGCACAGGACAAAGCAGTAGGGCAAAATATATGTGAAATGCATTGAAACAGCAATGTTTTACTATATAATAATCATTTTTAAAAAAATGACATTTTTTAAAAATTTCAAATTTGCGCCAGTTCCGGCGCCCGTACGTCCCGACGTCACAGGGACCGGAACACGGAAGCCGGATGCCGGCATCGGCCGGAGGAGATGGCCGGGGACGCTGTAGGGGACACATCGCGGGAGCGAAGGACAAGGTAAGCGCTGCAGGGACTCCCTGAGCAACGCCGCATGGTAAGCCCGAGTGTAGCTCGGGGTTACCGCTCTTGGTACTGAAATTTTACCCCGAGCTACACTCGGGAATACCGCTAGGGAGGTTAATAACCAGTTATTAGTAAAATGCCTCCTTGTACTTCCATAGTGGTGCTTGAGCAATAGTAGGACTAGCCAGTGCTTCAGAGTCACTGCTGAAGTCATGTGAAACATGACGTAACGCGTAGGAGGAGACGGTGATGCTGATACTGCAGGGATGCTGGATCTTGGCTGCACAGTGAGACCTTAAAGGCACTTTTACCTTATTTTTCTTGTAAATGCAATTCTTTAAATAAATGTTGAATACTGTTTTTTCGAGACTATGAGAGTCCATACCATGTCTGTTTGAGTATATTGGCAGAGGAGGAAGTAGAGACCGGCGGTCTCCTAAAGGGACATATACCAAGTGTCATAACTAAAGGAGAGAAGATCCATATTGAGGAATTCCAGGAACATATTCATACCCCTTGAGGGTAAAATGCCCATCTAGGCCTAATAATGAATGTTTTAGGTCCATGATTGAAGGTGAGCGCATTGGAGAACAGGTGACTGGACCCACTTACATGTCTGGTGTGGATTGCTATGACTATTGATCACAGAGTGGAGGAAGATATTGTCTAACATTTCTTGGGACTAATAATATTGGTTTTGGACTCGTTTAAGTTATATGCAGGGACTAATCAACCGCTCTATCACTTTTATTATGTGTGGGTATATATATATTCATTATTGAACACTGAGTTCGACACAGCATTGAATTCTCAGGGAGAACTGCATGGCACATACACAATTACAGAGTGGAGCCTGCCGTCATCAGCACCGGACATCACACAGGGCACTGAGGGGGGAGGAGCTGGGAAAACTGGGTGGAACAGCCAGGAACAGCTTGGTCCACACTGTGAATGTGAGGGGAGGCAAGGGGGGCGGGCTGGATCAAACATTGAAAAAAACTAGCAGAAAGGAGCTACGTGTTACCACCATGGAAATATGAGGGTGGGAGGCATTGTATATATAGCTAACACTAACAAAAAAAAAGTAATGTGATCCCAAAAACACACCAACAAATGCACCCTCAGTGTGTTTTTGGTGCATTTCCATTGACTTACAAAATGGAATGTGCGTTTTTGTGCACTTTCAAAAAGTGCACTAAAGATGCAGCATACAAGACTTTTCAAAATGCAGCAAAAACACAGCACAGTGATGTGAAAAGTCACATAGGATATAAAGGGGGATAACTTTGATGCACTTTTGTCGTGCTGGAAAGGTGCATTTTAGCGCAGGAATAGCACCCCAATGTGAAAGGGCCCTATTACACACACACAAACACACACACACACACACACACACACAGCAAATGACTGACTGACACAATGCCTAAACACCAGTGAAACACTGCCATCTAGTGGTCATGTTACTGTGTAAAATTATCAGTGCTTTCTCTATGGAATCATTTCATTTGAGTGGTTTTGCATTTTCAGCTTGTATATGCAGGTAAACATGGTATGCTATAGAAAAATAAAATGAAGACATTAACTTATTGACTATAAGCAGATATGCAAGTTTACATATAACAGAACGCCAAAGGTAAGCTATTACTGACATGTCGGATGTATTCAATATGGGTACAAGATTTGCCTAGTGATCACCTACTGACATATTGTACAGAAAATATTCATGAATGTGAAGACGGGATGCTATCCAACGATACTACATGCCAACATAACTTCTCACATATATGAATTCAAGAGTTACTGAGAGGATCAAAATAAATAGACACAGTTATTAAAAAAGGATTTTGATCTACGAATGGAGTAAGTTTAACTTTTTATACACTACTGGTAGGTAGGGACCCTGCTTAAGCTGGTGTAAATTTTTGGTGCAAACTTCAAGAAGGGTCCTCCCTCCTGGTCTTCTACCTGGTGAGGTTGTAAGAAGGGTCTTGCCCTTTGGCATTTCTCTAGTCGGGGGCCTGTTTAAAAGGCCAAAAGAATTTCCGCTGCCCTGCCGGTGGGTCCATCCAGGAGAAGCAGAGCAGAAAGATGGCTGTCGGTATAGAGTATCTGTAGAGGGGTCTTATGTGATGAAGAGTGTCCTGGGGAGCTTGGAGAAGCTGCTGATGTTGAACACTGCAAGAAGATCTCACTGCTCAAAATGTAACTTTGCATAGGGTCTGCTTACAGAAAGAAGAAGATCCTTTAACATAACTGACATTGACTGCTTTCATGAAGTCATTGTAATCCACTTGATGTCTCCTAATGGGCCAACAACAAACACCCTAACAGTTAAATGCTAGCCTGCCACACCATCTATGGAGTAATCTTGAACTACCCAGAGAGGATGAGTGCTACCTACTACTACTATTGTACTGGCTGTGCAGGAAGTTTGAGCAGAGCTCACGATGGACCACTTCCCTTTCATTAGTTTTTATGTATTTCGCTATGCTTGATGCTTATTGCCCCAAAAGAATACCTTTTATAACCCGAAGACTCTGGGTTTGCCTAGACCCCAAAATCACATTCCACAATCCAAACCCCCAATTTTTCCTCCAGCATTGGTAAAAACGAAAAACACATTTACATTTTTTAGAATTTTTGTTTTGTCAGAAAACTTTGACAGAATATTACATAATATTACCAGGTAACATTTCAAACAGATGGAGTTCTAGTCTCTTTTTCTCTAATGTAATTGCACAAAATAGAGCCCAGTGGTTTGCAGAACACAAATGAGCAGTGACTTATCAAACGGCTGAATCTAAGATTTCTATCACAAAAATGGAACTGAAAAGTAAGCTGCTCTGCTGTGCTGTCTCTTTAGATAACCCATGGTGCTCGCAAACCCTTTTTCATCTATTAAATGTTCTTTTGTGCACAAAGATTGTATAGAGATGGCAAAAAGGACATAAAACAACAGTTTAAAAACTTACAAAACTAAAAAAACTACAGTAAAATTGACCCAAAACCTTTATGCTTTCTCAAAAAGCTGGCCACACATTACAGTCTGGTTGAAGATGCCTAAACAATTCATTAAAACGTATATGCAATCAGGAAAACTCTGGCACTACAGAATTATTTGTATGTCTAAAGGATATCATAGAATCAGATTGTAATGCTTTATGGTACTTTACACCACACATGTACAGCCTGGGTCCGATGACTCAAAACACACAATCACGTCATGTTATAATAGGTCTTATCAACTAACACTCTAGTCCAAGCCACATTTATACTTCCCATTCATCTACTAGCAGTTTTTTGCATTCTTGTCCTAACTAGACAGGTGAGTTTCATTTCATAAGGAATCATTTTTTTAATCCAAAAATTTGATTTTCAGAGATTTGGATGTAACATACGTAAATTAATCTGAAAAAAGTTATAACAAAATTAACAAATGCATTCATTTCATTCGTATTATTCGATCGACGTCACATGATGTGATAGTAATATGGGCCCATGAGGAAATGAATTTCAATTTCACTCGATAATTGGGATTTAAGAAAATTTGTAATTTAAATTGAATTTGTAATCGTTACAGTCAGCCAGTTCAGCTCCACAGTCTAATGCAATTCTGAGGTTTGAAAAATTTTAAGCCATAGAATTTGCATTATTTATTCCATTGCATCCAAAAATATTGAATCCTGAAAAGTTTCAATATATGAATATCCAATCCACCCGAAATATATAGCAATCTTCCAAAAAAACTGCTAAATTTTTCTAATCCACCCGTACCAAGGAATATAGAAAACAAATGATGATTATAACAAAACGAATCCGAAAAACTACTCAGTTCAACATTACGAAAATGACAAAACTAAATTCAATGAATGAATGCATTTGATCTTATACAAAACGAAAATTTCTGGCATGCACATGTCTAGTTCCAACCCAGTTGCCTTAGTATCACACTTACGGATCAGGCTTTGTTTCCTTGAGTCAGAAAGGCTAAAAATACATTTTATTCTCTCTTCATCAGTATACTTAGAACCAATGACTAGAATAGTAGGACAAAGTATTGCTCTGCTTTTCTTGCAGTTCAGTTCTAGGTGTACAGGCCCAGAGAATTGTAGGTGCAGAACACACTATTTCAAAAACCAATTACACAGAGACAACGACAAGAACCTAGGTGGACTGCTATGATGTGTGGCCATGTGCTACCTCCAGCAGCCCCACCTCCTCAAGCAGCAGTTCATGTTGCCTATGCCAGTATCTGGACTTTACTATTGTCCAGTTTATATCCACTGCTTTCTTCAGTCACAACAAAATGAGAAGCTGAGGCCAACGCTCAACTAAACATTACAATAATTTTCAAGAGCCCTTAATAATAACAAACTGCAAAGTTCTTCTACCTGACTAGGAGCATCTATGCCTGAGTTCTGGCAATTGTCCATTTCACACTAGTTAACAAGGAGCCTCCTGGCTACCACCATACACAGCAGCTCTGATTTCTTTGGTGACCCACTGCTTTCTGAAGCTCCCTCGGGCTAGACTATGTCTGTGGGACATTGGTGGTATCAGCAATCAGTGTACTTCCAAAAGTGAGCGGAGGTGCCCAAAGAAGCCTGAGGAACATTGTTAAGTACTGGTAGCCTCATAGCTGCTCTTCAATGGTCCTGAATATGTCACCTTTCTTGTGAGAAGAGAAAATAATATTTTCCATGAAACTCAATGATGTCTGGAGGCAAAAGAGAAAAACAAAGATGGGGTTCAAACCAACAACCAGAAAGGCAATATGATTATTCTATTCTGTTTGGATGTCAGGAAAATATTAAAAGCAATCCTATGTTGAAAAAAAAAAACAAACTAGCTTCTCCTTTAAGATCTGAACAGGCATCTTAAAGCATTTCATGAGGTTAAACTGCAAGAGTTGAACATTGTCCTAACATATGCAACTCTTTATCTTGACTTGAGTGGCTGCTGATTACCCATTGTATTACCCAATTATTATTATAATACAGGATGTATACAGCGCCAACATCTTTCTCAGCACTTTACAATATAACGGGAGACAATACAGCAACAATATAGTTCAATACAAGAGGTTTAGGAGGGCCCTTCCTCTTGGAGCTGACAATCTAAGAGTTTTTAAAGATGAACTAATGTCAAAACATTTTTTTACATTTTGGATATAATAAGGGTGTGTTATATCCTATCAGATTTGTTTTGCCACTTGTGACCCACCGAGGAGATTTCCTGTCACTTCCTGTCCCACAGCCAAAACAGGAAGTGGGAGCAAATCCTTCCAAAATGAGGGAATCCCTGGTTATCACCAGGTTCATCAGATCTAATGTACCTATTGGAAAACGTCCTACCTATTCCTGTTCTGGCGACAACCCAAAATGTGATATGTTCTTTGCCTTTAATGGTAAACAGGACAGATAAAGAAGGTGAATCTCCCTAGCGAGGCCACAGACAGCAATAAAGACCTGACAGGTGTTTATTTATACCTAAAATACTACAGGTTTAAAGTGACACTGAGGATTTCATTTTACCTCTGTGTTGTGTGAAAGGACACTGGCGGTCAACTGCATACATTGACCTTTGGATAATATACATTATGCTACAATATAAGAGTTTGAGTGACTTCTGCAGATCTTTTTCTATTTTACACATTTTTTCAGAAACTCTTATATATAATGTAGCATTGATGTTATTTTAATATGATTATATAAATCTACATTGTAGTAAAGAAGAAGAAACTTCATTTACAAATAATCACAGTGCAGATTATTATTTCCTTCCAATTTACGCACCATCAGCAAAGTTCCCAGATGTAACACTAGAAATCTGCATGCGCTCAGCAGGTTTGTAAAGCTTTGTGTTGCCTTCCAGTATAACATATACAAACAGTGCCAATGTTTTCTGGTTACTCAGGTGTCTGCACAATGTTACTACCAACTAGAGATGAGCGAATTATTCAAAAATTCGATTCGGCTGATTCGGCGAATTCGCGGAATAAATTCGATTCGAGTCGAATATATTCGCTGCAAATTTAACTTATAAAAAGGGTGTTTCTAGGCTTCAGAGAGCCTTTATATTAGTGCAGAACACTGTACCTTTAATTTAAATGCCCTTGGAGTCTGCTGGGGAAGAGAAATAATACTGTCAGTCAGTATGACATGCAGATGAGTGCCGTCGATCTTAGAATCACCGCACACTTCACTCATTTGGGCAGTCACGGGGCCAAAACCAGAGTGTGGAGCCACAGTGTGGCGGTGGAGGCAGCAGCAATGGGAGGCCATACAGCACCCTATGAAAAAATGGAACCCACCAGCAGTGTGAGGAGACCTGAAAGTGGCACATGGCAGAGTGTGGCGATGGAGACAGCAGCAATGGGAGGCCGTACAGGGACCCATGACACACTCTGGACCTGGCAGCAGCATGAGGAGGCGGTACAGGGGCCCATGACAGATTATGGGCCTGGCAGCAGCATGAGGAGTCGGTACGGGGGCCCATGGCAGATTACGGGCCTGGCAGCAGCAATGGGAGGCCATACAGCACCCTATGACAAAATGGATCCCACCAGCAGTGTGAGGAGACCTGAAAGTGGCACATGGCAGAGTGTGGCGATGGAGACAGCAGCAATGGGAGGCCGTACAGGGACCCATGACACACTCTGGACCTGGCAGCAGCATGAGGAGGCGGTACAGGGGCCCATGACAGATTACGGGCCTGGCAGCAGCATGAGGAGTCGGTACGGGGGCCCATGGCAGATTACGGGCCTGGCAGCAGCAATGGGAGGCCGTACAGGGACCCATGACACACTCTGGACCTGGCAGCAGCATGAGGAGGCGGTACAGGGGCCCATGACAGATTACGGACCTGGCAGCAGCATGAGGAGTCGGTACGGGGGCCCATGGCAGATTACGGGCCTGGCAGCAGCAATGGGAGGCCCGTAATCTGCCAGCACCCTATGACAAAATGGAACCCACCAGCAGTGTGAGGAGACCTGAAAGTGGCACATGGCAGAGTGTGGCGATGGAGACAGCAGCAATGGGAGGCCGTACAGGGACCCATGAGACACTCTGGACCTGGCAGCAGCATGAGGAGGCGGTACAGGGGCCCATGACAGATTACGGGCCTGGCAGCAGCATGAGGAGTCGGTACGGGGGCCCATGGCAGATTACGGGCCTGGCAGCAGCAATGGGAGGCCCGTAATCTGCCAGCACCCTATGACAAAATGGAACCCACCAGCAGTGTGAGGAGACCTGAAAGTGGCACATGGCAGAGTGTGGCGATGGAGACAGCAGCAATGGGAGGCCGTACAGGGACCCATGACACACTCTGGACCTGGCAGCAGCATGAGGAGGCGGTAACAGGGGCCCATGACAGATTACGGGCCTGGCAGCAGCATGATGAGAGTCGGTACGGGGGCCCATGGCAGATTACGGGCCTGGCAGCAGCAAGGGGAGGCCCGTAATCTGCCAGCACCCTATGACAAAATGGAACCCACCAGCAGTGTGAGGAGACCTGAAAGTGGCACATGGCAGAGTGTGGTGATGGAGACAGCAGCAATGGGAGGCCGTACAGGGACCCATGACACACTCTGGACCTGGCAGCAGCAAGAGGAGGCGGTACAGGGGCCCATGGCAGAGTGGCGAAGCGTAAGCAGCTTAAATTGAAGGCCATACAGAGGCCTATGTTAAAAATAATAACATGTTTGGGGCATGATTCATGGCGGATTTAGTCAGTTGTGTCAGGAACTGGTGGTTTGAAATCCAGACTAATCCACGCCTGATTCATTTTCACAAACGTGAGTCTCTCCACACTTTGGGTGGACAGTCGTGTCCTCCACGGAGTTACAATACCTCCTGCCGCACTAAACACGTGCTCCGATGCCACGCTACTGGCCGGGCATGACAGCCTTTCAAGGGCAAATTCAGCTAGTTGGGGCCAAAGGTCAAGTTTCGTTGCCCAGTAGTCAAGGGGATTGTCTACCTCGGTTGGCAGGGTGCTGTCCAAGTAGGCCCAAGCCTGTTGTTTGAGGTCCTGCTCCAGGTCCACCTGATGCTGCTGCTGCTGCGGCGGCTGGTTAGTAGTTTCCTCACTGCGCTGGTGAAGAAAGCTACTCATCATCGACTGCAGACTGAGGCAGCCGCTGCTGGTGGAGCTGCCACTGCTCCTACCACCCCACCCCTCCCCTGCTGCCATGGCAGCGGAACGCGAGCGCACAGGGCCCACAGTGTCTGAGGATGGACGTTGGCGCACAAAGGCAGAGACCAACTGACTACATAGGTGGTTTTTATAGTACTTTATTTTGGCCTCCCTCTCAGCAGGTGTGAAAAAGGCCACCATTTTTGAACGGTAGCGAGGGTCCAACAAGGTGGACAGCCAAAAGTCATCCCTCTGTCTGATGGTTATTATTCGGCTGTCGCTACGCAAGCAACCGAGCATGCTATGGGCCATTTGTGCCAAGGAATGCGAGGGACTCCCTGCCTCCATCTCCACAGCATACTGCCACGGTGCGTCTGGGTCCTCTGTCTCCTCCTCCTCCTCCTCTACCAGATGCTCCTGCTCCTCCACTCCTGTCCGCTGAGTGGAAAAACCACCCATTTCACTCAATAATTCCTGAGCACCAATGTCCTCCTCTACCTCCTCCTCTTCTTCCTGTCCTGCCCCCACAGGGGTCATGTGGCGTTGAGATCTGTGCGCCACGTCTACCGCACACCCTGACCAGCCATTGTTAACAGCATTTGTTTCCAGGACGTGCAACAGAGGAATGACGTCGTTCATCCCATAGTCCTGCCGCATTTTTATGAAAGACGGTCGTTCACTCACGAATAGTCCTGCCGACTCACGAATAGCGTGGCCTCCTCAAAGGGCCTGAGCAAGCGGCAGGTGTCACGCATGAGCTGCCAATGGCTGACATCTAAGTTACACAGGGGAGTACCTTTATCCGCTTGTAACATCAGGAAATCGGTGATGGCCTTTCGCTGTTCGTAAAGGCGCGGTCTAACATATGTAGGGTTGAATTCCACCTTGTTGCAACGTCGCAGATCAGGCGATGCTGTGGAATTCCGTTCTGGCCGCTGCAGCTCAAGGAGGGTGTGCTTTGCGGTGTAGGAATGGCTGAAATGCATGCAAAGTTTACGTGACATTTTAAGGATGTCTTGCAGTGGGATGGTGGATTTTAGGAACCGCTTGACAACCAGATTGAACACGTGAGCCATGCATGGCGCATGGCACAACCTTCCTTGACGCAGAGCAGACACCCATGTTCTTTCCGTTGTCGGTCAACATGGTTCCGATTTTCAGTTTGCGCGGAGACACAGCCATCTGTCGATTTCTCTGTTCATTACACTCAGAAGTTCCTCCCCTGTGTGACTACGTTCGCCAAGGCATACCAGGTGCAGCACAGCGTGACACCGTTGCGCCCTGCACATGTGATATGCCGGTCGGGTAATGGGACTTGGCACGGGGGTGGCGGCTGAGGACACAACGGCGGAAGAAGAGGTGGTAGAGGCGGACATCTTTGCTGGACCAAGGACGTGCAAACGTGGAGGCAAAAGCGGCGTGACCTGTCCAAGTTGCTGGTGCGGCTGTGCCGGCACCACGTTCACCCAGTGGGCCGTAAATGACATGTACTGTCCCTGACCGTAGTTACAGCTCCACACGTCGGCGCTGCCGTGCACTTTGGCAGAGACCGACATGCTCAAAGACTGGCCCACCATCTCTTCTACATGTGAATGCAGGGCTGGCACTGCCTTTTTTGGCGAAGAAATGCCGGCTTGGCACTCTCCACCGCGGCGCGGCACAAGCCATCATTTCTCGGAAAGGTGCTGAGTCCACCACTTGGAAAGGGAGGGACTGCAGCACCAGCAACTTGGACAGGAGGACGTTCAGCTTCTGCACCGTCGGGTGCGTGCTCGCAAACTGTTGTCTCTTGGAAACGGATTCCAAGAAAGACTGCTGACGGAATCCGTGAAGAGGAGTAGCAGGAGAAGGAGCATCTGAACGAGCGGAAGATGCCAACGAGCGACAACTCCCCTCAGCAGAGGTGTTGGAGCCTTGACTGGCTGATAGAGGGCGATTGACGTCGGGTGACGGAGCAAGTAACGGAGGAGCGGGTGATGGAGCGGGGGCTGGGGCAGGCAGAACCGCCGTATCTTTATCACGGTTTTCCCAGGCCACCGAATGGCGACGCTGCATATGCTGACGCAACGCTGTAGTCCCAACATGGGCCCCCTGGCCACGCTTGACTTTTCTGGCCACATAGTCGACATACGGCTACGTTTACTTCCTCGGGCGGCTTGCTTGACGAAAAATTGCCACACACTCCCCGAGTAGGAAACTTTGCCCCCCCCTACTCCTCACTGGCTGACTGCTACTTCCTCCGTGCACACCGGCACCACTACTGGCCGTGGTGGTAGGCTGCAGTGGAGCTGGTGCTCTACTCCGTGGCCGTTTGCCTCCACTGACACTGCTGCTGCGACCCTGCTGCTGCCTCCTGGGCAACCCACCGACTGTTTTGCTCGCTGCCAAGCTGGCACCCTCTTCTCCTGATGATGCGGAAGCAATAGCCTGATGACGACGAGGCTGCCAAGTGCGATCAGCCTCTCATCATCATCAATTAGGGTCTCCGCCTCACTACTACTAGCCCCCTCGGCTGCGTGTGGGTCAGGAGACAGACCTGTCTCTAGACCGGCTACCGAGCCACTCTCCTCGCCAGTACTTCTTCTTCGCCTGGCTGCTGAAGAGGCGGATGTCTCCCCCCGTTCCTGACCGCCCTCTGTTAGCTCTTCCTCACTGTACAGTGGGGCTGAGCCCACAGCATGCGATACTTCGCTTGGTGAGGGAACACCAAAGGACAGGGGCAGGTAGAGGACACGTGATTTCAGTGGGCTTGCTCCCCGGGGCCCATGCCAACTAACGGTTGTGTGTCTGACGTACCCACCGACCGTTGGCTGTAGGTGTCAGAGGTGACCTGGGAAGAGGAAGACGACCGAGCCAACCAATCGATGACGGCAGGGTTGTCGGTGGAGACACGACCGCTGGATGACACCGGGAGCACTGGCCTCTGGCTGCGACTAGTGCTGCCTCGACCCCTTCCTCTGCTGCCACGTCTGCTCGCGCTCCTGAAACATTGCCTCTGCCTCTGCCACTCCTCTGCGTGTTGTCTGACATACTCTTTAATTCAACGATTCTGTGTCCCTGAGTAACGATTCTGTGTCCCTGAGTAACAATTCTGTGTCCCTGAGTAACAATTCTGTGTCCCCTCAGTAACGATTCTGTGTCCCTCAGTAACAATTCTGTGTCCCTGAGTAACAATTCTGTGTCCCTGAGTAACGATTCTGTGTCCCTCAGTAACAATTCTGTGTCCCTGAGTAACAATTCTGTGTCCCTCAGAAACAATTCTGTGTCCCTGAGTAACATTCTGTGTCCCTGAGTAACGATTCTGTGTCCCTGAGTAACGATTCTGTGTCCCTGAGTAACAATTCTGTGTCCCTGAGTAACAATTCTGTGTCCCTGAGTAACAATTCTGTGTCCCTGAGTAACAATTCTGTGTGTCCCTGAGTAACAATTCTGTGTCCCTGAGTAACAATTCTGTGTCCCTCAGTAACAATTCTGTGTCCCTGAGTAACAATTCTGTGTCCCTGAGTAACATTCTGTGTCCCTGAGTAACAATTCTGTGTCCCTGAGTAACGAATTCTGTGTCCCTGAGTAACATTCTGTGTCCCTGAGTAACAATTCTGTGTCCCTGAGTAACAATTCTGTGTCCCTGAGTAACGATTCTGTGTCCCTCAGTAACGATTCTGTGTCCCTGAGTAACAATTCTGTGTCCCCTGAGTAACAATTCTGTGTCCCCTGAGTAACAATTCTGTGTCCCCTGAGTAACAATTCTGTGTCCCTGAGTAACATTCTGTGTCCCTGAGTAACAATTCTGTGTCCCTGAGTAACAATTCTGTGTCCCTGAGTAACAATTCTGTGTCCCTGAGTAACAATTCTGTGTCTGTCCCTGAGTAACAATTCTGTGTCCCTGAGTAACAATTCTGTGTCCCTGAGTAACGATTCTGTGTCCCTGAGTAACAATTCTGTGTCCCTGAGT